AAAACGTTAATGTATCTTCGAACTGAACCAAGTCTTTTTTTAGTCCAATTCCGGGACTTTTCGGAAACGAATAATACCTCTAGTCCTTCGCCTTATTCTTCTGATTAGCGCGATCCTCATCAGTCTATACTTCTACAATTATAAGCACCCACCAAGAAGTGGTCCCGATGACGAACTTTAGGACTGTCCAATCTTCTACTTCCGTGTTTTACCAGTGAACTTGTCATGTTGTAAGTGATCTCGGAATAAATTTATTTACCACTCACTAAAAGCACACGAGGTGAGGCCACCAAGCAGATGAGTTTATGCTACTGGTGTCCCTTAGTTATAGACTTTTCGCTGCTGCGCGAACTCAATAAAAAATAATGTCCAGTCTGTTTTGAGTGGAAGGATATCGCTACAATCAACTGAATAGTTACGGTTGTAGGTCCGTATCCTCCAAAAAGCAAGCACAGAACAATAGGTGGCCTGTCCAAGAGGATTGATATGGACGTTATGACACTTTCACCTTGCTGACATTTTTATTACAATAAATGGAAATGAGTCCGTTTACGATACGCACACAAAAAATGGACGAAGTCTATGTACAGAAGTTTTTTGAGGCCACAGTCGTCAGTCGATAAACCGAAACCTGTCGCTCTTAATTTTATATTTCTCGTCCTCAGAAACAAGAACAAAAGTTTGCGTGTAAGCATGATCCACACCACCTAACGTGACGTTTCCTGCTAAGAAAACAACTAAAGGGTAAGGCGGAGTCCCCTCATCGTCCAAATAATGGCAGTCTAGGGCTGAAACACTAAAAGGAAAGATTAGTATCTTAAATATCGGTTTAGAACGCCAGCAAGTGCAAATGACACTGGTAAAGAACTACGAGTGGGAGGAATGTTACAGGTATTAAAACAAGTAAAACGACTGGGTTAGGGAAAAGATAAGCCAAATTAAATGCTTTTTGACGCAACATAGCACTCTAGAAAGTAAGGAAACTATTAAACAGCAGACATTCAGCCAATTTCAGTATTCGCCGCAATTAACAAAAGTATCTTTACAGTACAACACGTTTATCATGTGTCCAATAGACGTTGACAATCTCAGCATCGCTTTACGCACTCAAAACTGCCGTGAAACCGTTTACGCAGCACCTTTCGATAAATAGCAAAAAAAATTTTATAAGTAAATGCCGGTAATGAATTTAACCCAAAAAACCGTATCTTTTAAGCTTCTGGCGCGGCATTTTATTACACTTTCCTACACAACCATATCACTGTTGTTCTTACCTCAGTAACGAAATTAAGTAGAAAAACGTATACAAAGACAGCTTACTTGTGTTGAGATATAGGAAGAGCTTCAAAAAATTTTGTCACGTTTTCTGATCCGCAAACAACATTGCCATTCCAAACCAAAGTAGCATCATCAACATATAAAAAATTCATCTTATTGCGCTTCCGGTCTGCTGCTTCATAATAAATTTTTGTAAAATGGTCGGCAGCCTGACATGCCTTTTCGTCGTTCTCCCTTTTAGTGGCTGACATAATTGGAGTTGACACCTGAAAACCGTTTCTAAGGATTAGAAATAAGCAATAATTTTCTAGAGAATGAGAAAACCGTTTCCTGAATAAATAATATACAAGAATTCAAAAAAAAAAAAAAAAAAAAA